AAAAAAAAAAAAAGAAATGTTAAGGACCTAGATGACTCAAAAATAGTTTTTGAAAATGACAAAGTTGAAGACTTAAGATTTCAAGATGTATTATAAAGTTACAGTAATCAAAACCGTGTGGTACCAGTAAATGATTCCACAAATTGGATTCATCAAAAATAAAAATTTACGCTTTTCAAAAATCACCATAAGAGAATAAAGACATGCTACAAACTGAAGAAAATATTTGCAAAGTATATTGTTTCTGGAATAAAGACCTTTTAAAACTCAATGATGAGTAAACAAACTAACCCAGTCAAAAATGGCCAAAAAATTTCAACAGGAAGTTTCCTGAAGAAAATACATGAATGGAAAATAAGCACATGATATGATGCTCAATATCATTCATATTGGAAAGATACACATTAAAGCTGCAGTTATGTATTATAGAGGTATTAGACTAATTAATGATTGAACTTTTAATGTTTTGGAGAGAGTATTGAACAACCAAAACTCTCATATAGTGGTGGTAGGAATGTAAAATGGTACATTCTGCAAAATGATTTGTCAGTTTTTTTTAACACTACATACACCTACCAGACAGTACAGCTGTAACATCTGAGAAATTTACATGAGATAAATGAAAACCTTTGTCCATAAGGTTTGTATGTAGGTATTTATGTGACAGCCTTACATTAAACACTCCAGACTAAAAACACAGATGTCTGTAAAGGTGAGTGGATAAACATATTGTAGAATACAATCAGTATTCAGTTTGTTACATCAGTAGAATAATACTGAGTAACAAAAAGTGAACTTACTGATATAAACAATAGATGAATCTCATAATTATGAGTGAAAGTAGACAAGAAATAACACATAGTGTATTATTTTTGTAGATTCTAGAAATGAGTCTATAGTGATAGAAAGTAAATCACTCATTGCCTGGGAAGGGAAGAGATTACCTGGAAATTTTGGGTATTGATGTATGTTCATTGTCTCACAGATATACACATCTGTGAAAACATACTAAATGTGCACTTTAATTATGAGCATTTTATTTATATATTCTTTAAAAATAATATAATAGTTTATTTTTACATCATTTTGTGCATTTTTCCATCTCAGTTGTAATTCCTGTGGGCTTCCCATCACCAAATCACCCATGTGCTATCATCATAGTCCAGTGCATTTCCCTCCCCCCAATGTTTTTGATCCCATTCCCCACTCCACCCCCACAAAATGTCTCTGGTTTGTAGCTGTTTATTATTATTATTTTCACGCCTGGTCGTTTCACTCCTGCTATGAGTGAAACCATCCAATGTTTTTCCTTTTCCTTCTGGCTTATTTCACTGAGCATAATCTTTTCCAGCTCCATCCATGTTGCTGCAAAAGGCATGTGTTTATTTTTTTTGGTTGCTGAGTAATATTCCATTGTGTATATGTACCACATCTTTTTAATCCAGTTATCTACTTTTGGGCATTTGGGTTGTTTCCATGGCTTTCCAATTGTAAATAAAGCAGCAATAATCATGGGGGTGCAGGTACTTTTTGAATCCATGTTTTTGTGTCTTTTGGGTAGATATTTAGGAGTGGGATTGCTGGGTCATATGCCAGCTCCATTTTTAACAGTTTGAGGAACCTCCAGTTTTCCATAGTGGTTGTACTTGTTTGCATTCCCACCTCGTTTGCATTCTCCTGCAGTGCAGGAGAGTTCCTTTTTCTACTTACATGTTTTTTAAAAGCACATAAAACCTATAGAAATATTTAAAACCTTAGAAGCCTTTATTTTATTTTACTGAGTTTAAAGATAAGTCTTGCCTCAATGCTCATGTTCTCTAGGTTCCTAACACCTAAGACCCAATCTCTTACCCAGTCTCTTAGTGCTTATTTTATATACTTGTCATCTTTCGCTGTGTTTGTGTTTTTTTTTTAATGTTTATATCTGAAACATTTAATGATTCTTAAAATCACTTATTTTACTTGGTATGTCACCTTTAAGGGACATACTAATAACTTTATTGTTAAGAAATTGATTGAAATATGTCACTATTATATTTTTGTTTGTGCTAGACCTGACTAATTTTTTATGTACTCAATTTGTTTGTTCAAGTGTGAAACTTAATTCCGAGAATTCAGTAACTTAAAAGAAAGTGATGCTTTATTTTTTTTTTTTTACAAATATCTACTTATTTATGCATATAAGAATGGGGGTACAGGCCAGAGGTGTGGGGGAATGAGAGGACTCATCAGAGTCAGAATGGGGGATAGGACAGACAGTTTGACTGCCTGAGGGGAGCAGTGGGAGAGACAGAAGAGGTCTGCTGTGCCATGTGGGTCAGCTGCCTGGCTGGAGATTTTTGCATTACCATGCTGCAATGGCTGCAGATAGCTTCATAGTGCTGTCTTAACCCCTTGTACCACCAGGGAGACCCCCGAAAATGATTTTTTAAATGGTCTGAGTATTGTTCAGTAAGTGCATTTTGCTCAAAGGAAAGCACCTTGGCTTACCTCTGACAATGTGATTATTCTTAACAGAACCTTAGGCACATGAAAGCATCATAGTTGCTATACAGATGAGTTGATGCTATGGACTTGTACTTTATTAAAGGTAAATGTAGAGAAGATGATCCCAAAACAGACTTTTTTCTACATAATGACCATTCAGTTATAAATTCAACTGTAAAGTGGGCTAGTTGATCATAGTTAACTCACAAGTAATTTAATTTTAATGAGTCAAGATAAATCACTGTCCTTTTTTCTTTCTTTTTCTTCTTCTAGGAAGTAAAACAGCAACCATGATAGAAGACAAAGGGCCTAGAGTGACAGACTACTTTGTCGTGGCAGGCCTCACTGATACATCTGTTCTTTTGGATCAAGAAATAAATCGTTTAGATACTAAGTCAACTGGACCTAAAGCCCCAATTACAGACATTGCAGTTATTATCAAATCAGCTGGGGAAACAGTACCTGAAGGTTACACCTGTGTGGAAGCCACTCCATCAGCTCTCCAAGCAAACTTGAACTATGGAAGTCTGAAAAGCCCAGAACTTTTCCTTTGTTATAAGAGAGGGAGAGATAAACCACCCCTTACTGACATTGGGTATGGTGCTTTCTTTTTTTTTTTTTTTTTTTGTTATAGTGAGGGTGATAAAATTTGTGGTATATGGGAATAGAAATTTGATATTCTTGATAGTTGTATTATTGTTTGTTACTTCATCATCGTCAAATATAGCAAGATAGTACATATCTCTTTCCACCTTTACTGAATCTTTCTACTTTTACTTAATTTCTCTGCATTGTACTTGAATCATTAGATCATTTTCTTTTAAAAGAATGGTGAGACAAAGGCTTTAGTTTTGAAATATGATTCCATTTGTTTTGTACTTTTCAGATAAGCTTATTAAATATAAAAGAACAAGAAACTATAATAATTATTTGGAAGGTGCTATGTAAATTATGTGACTTTTTTTTTTTTTTTGGCAAAACCCCTGAATTCATTTAACAGGAACATTATATATATATATATATATATATTTTTTTTTTT